TTTCTATAATACTCGCTTGAAGATATAGCGTAAAGATGTTAGATGTTAATGACAATGTGATCAGAACGTTGTAGTGCGCTATATCAGAGTGATTACGTTAACCTTTTACTCGAGATTTATTATAACTATCGGTGCTGTATATGTAATATATATATATTATATAGTATAAAGCAAACTCTCTAGTGACCCCTCTGAACCTCTCAGCAGGGTTGAGGTTACAAATTGTACCATCAGTCTGAGAGTTGTCAGTCTGATTGTACCGTACAATCAGGCCGACTCTTTCAGACCAAAACCTCTCAGAATAACTCATGACATAGCCCTAAAAAAGTACTTAATTACTACCAATCATACTATAGCGAGCATACGATTTTGAGTAAAATGTCTGGATTGATTGCTAGGTAGTTAAGTAGTTTGCAAAAAGAAACAAGCTGAGTGAGAATGAGACTCGTTGTAAATATATCTAAAGAAGGAGAACAATGACTGTTCATTGGAGTGGCGGGCTGATTGCCAGAGCTGGGAAAATATGTTGCTAAGTGTCTTAAAATTGGGTTACCAAGGTTTAAGGTGCCCTGATACTGAACGGAGAAGCATTTAATTTAATAAATAGTAAAATAAACCACAGCAACAGATAGATCAACAATCGTTAGTCTATAAGTTACTACAATTAATTAGATTTGAACAGTTACAAATAATTTGAAAATCGAGCTCGACATCTCCTTGTGCTGTAATAAGTTAATAAGTATTTACAACTATTTACAATAAGCATTTGTAATATTACCTGCCCTGGATTGACGGCGTACGGGTCAAATAGTCAAACCAAAATTTACTGGCCCACACAACCCGAATTTTACCGAACAATACAACCAGTAGCGATCATAATACTGCCATTTTAAATATTTTGTCTGAGAATTTAAATGAAAAATTATTATTAAATATGCCACTTTACCAGAATGATAATCAGCTGCTAAAGTGAATGACTGGCTTGCAAACGAGACAATTTCCAGGATATTAGAATTTATAGCCGGTGAGTCGGGGTGGGCTGACCATGAGCTAGTTACAAAAGTGGCATTGATTAGAAAGTGGTACTGACTAGTGGCACAGACTACAGTCACAGAGTGTCACAGACTTCGGCAGAACGGGTGCTCTCATTAAAGCTCTGTTAACTTTGGCAAATGTTCAGTTTTATCATGTGCGATTTTATCTTTAATTTTTAGGGAATGTATTATCTTAAATTCGGATCTTATCGGTTATCCGGGGTTTCTGACGTAAAGAGAACATGTTGCACCGGGCACCCACACAAAAGGCTACAAATATCCAGAAATGACAGACCATTCTGGTTTCTGATTAAATTCCTGATTGATACAGGCTAACGGGTTCTGATTGGGTATTTCAATATTTCAGCCAAGATTGTGTTGCTATGGCAACTTGTGTTGCTATGCAAGTCAGCTAGCTGGATTCCTATTTCAAGGTTTGGAGCTCTGTAAACGGCTGGCTAAGTGCCAACTCATAGCTGATCAAGTAATATTGGAATCTAAGAGTAAGGTTTAAACTCGACTAGCAAAATGGCTGCATTTCGGGCATTTCCTTCATTTCCCTGTTTCATGTTCCTGACTTGCGACCCCTAATGAAAAGTACTATCTGTAATGAAAACTTATACCCTAATGGAACTGCGCCGTTGTCAGGCTAGAGGACGGTCAGTACCCTTGGTAACACGTAACATGTGGTAAAACGTAACACTTGGGCGCTCTTTCTCTATATGAGTATATGATATAGTACATCCCAATATGAAATTAATTACTTTTTTCCTTTTGGTCTTTGAGGATGGACTGGGACCTTGTACTGTAACTAAAAATATGACTGTGTTCATATTGATACACATTTAGTTCTTATTTGATGAGCTGTTGGGTAGTGGAGAATAACAAGCCTGCTCTGGTCAGTCCTACAACACTGATAACAACTGCATTAATAGCTCCTAGCATGAGACATAATATCATCAAGTTCAGAAGTACACTTCAGTGGGAGAACCCTGAGGTAGACAACACAGACAGGTTACAACACAGACAGGTTACAACACAGACATAGAACTTAAGGGTTACCCTTAAGTTCCATGGCCAAATAATACAGGAAAATAATTTGGGCAAATTTTGTTTGTGAAATAAAATTATACGAGTGACCTGTTCCATGCCCAAATAATTTGCGTGTGGAAATTGATACGCGTATTGGTGGTGTCGGGCAGGATCAGGACTGGAGCCACTCGAGTTTTAATAAGGATACACAAACACAAACAGAAACAGGTTACAACACAGACAGGTTACAACACAGACAGGTTACAACACAGACAGGTAGAACATAACCGACTGTGTATAATGATAGGATGGTTGTTTTTCTTGGTTGGGGACTGGCCTGAAGTGCCAGCCAATGTTCACTCAAAGTATATATGACATAATTATTATCTATCAAAAGTCAAACCTCATACAAAATTAAATATTGTAAAAAAACTAGACTGCTGGTACGGATTTATTTGTCTAATCCTACATTAGCAACTTCGACAAATATATCCGCAACTGTCTGGTGAGATCAAGGTGACCAGTACGGAGTACCTGTTGAGACTCATCAAATCTCCGAGCCAGGGTGATTAAGGAGCAAAACAACGGCCTGTGGAAAACTTTGAGTGTGGTTTATATCTCTCTAGGACTGATTGAAATTATCTCTCACAAGAGTCAACCGACAAACAACTCATCAATGTTTATTAATGAGGATTGAGGATTCAACTCAGTTGAACCGATAGATAATGATGTCTTAGGTCTATGGGGTTAGGATAAAAATTCGCAACGTACCTTAAAAACTCTGTACAATAGTTCTTACTTCTTTATAGAAGTACAGTAAAACCCCGATTTAACTTTTGGGGGAAATTAAACATCCCTGTACTAGAGTTCTTCATGTCTTAGTTAAGTGTGCTAGGGCTAACTGAAGATCACGCCAACAGTGACGACCATTTACATGAGAATAAGAGTGGCCCAGTAGTTGAAAATTTTAAGAAACTTTAAGTGCTAAAACTTGTGTTTTATTAATGAACCTATTATTGTTACAACATACAGTTCCGAGCGTTGTTTATTCGTATTTTACTGACTAGTTTAATGATATTACAGCTAAGAAGTTAGCAAATGCGTTGTCTTGTTAGTGTACTTGATTAATGAAGTTCTAGTCAGCCTTAATAAATAGATTTTTATAATAGATAAAGATTCCTTGGGTCACGGGTTTCAGACCTACATTTCTTTAAAAGAAATCAGTTTTGGGTTAATTTTGTTTCGTGACTAACAATAATCCATTAGTTTCCTACAGATAATGTTGATGTTTATGGGCACTTTCAAAAACTATGTTAACGAATCTGTCACAGGAAAAATTTCAACTTCTAGAAGCTCTCATTTGGTGGATATACTCAATATTTTGATCAAACTGTGCGACATCTACAGATTTGCGATAGTACAACTTTTACAAAAATAATAAAATGTCTACTATGTCTATAAAATAAAATTCAATACCGAAAATTTTCAATCGAAAAAATTATATTTATATTGGTCAACAAGTTCATCAGGTTTACTCAGTTACCAGATCAGGTTGGAAATCGTTTCAAGTTTATGATAGAATAGAAGATTTACTTTCTAGGCCATTTTTGGTGGATTATATACTGGAGCTTCAAGATTGATTTTATTTTTAAGTAAAATTCTGTGTCAATAATGCATTTTATCCATTGTTAGACCCCGCCCAATTATCTCGTCTAGAAGCTGAAAATGCTTACAATTATTATTTTAGGGCCATAACGAATGGATATAGTTTCATGTGAACTTAACAAACTGTCTCATTTCAGCCTTCAGAGCCGTTTTTGGTGGATAAAAGCACACAAACGGGAAAAGTTGCTTTTTTATCCACTATTTCTGCTCAATTATGAAATCATACACTGATATTGGTTTGTTTAGACCTTTTTCTTGTTCAGCACAAAATGTGATAAGCTCAAGCCGACTTTTAAGGCCAAAATTGATGGATATCAAAATATCCAGGTCGATATTTTAAGTATTTTTGAGTTAATTATCCACCGAATTGGCCCTGAATGCTTAAAATGCCATAGTACCTTATGCATAAATGTTCAACATCCTATATTTCATCTTTTTCAACTGTTTTTAATCATGATGATGTCTTATTTATTGATATTTTGGTAGCATTTAGGCGTTTAACTAATTAATATTGACTGATATCCACCAAAAATAGCCTTTTAACTTGAATCTCGAACTTTATAGTTGATGCCATGGATTTAACATTGCCTTTGCATCATTTTAAGACCAGTAAATTGATGTTAGGTAACAAATAACAGTCTTAAAAAGAGGTACAAAAATATATCCACCAAATTTGCCCCTTAAGAAAAATCGCAGCCCTTCTTATGAAATTGTGAAGTTATAACGATTATAACTCTGTAAAATTTGAAAAGTATTTAATAAAAAAAAAAAAAATTATAAGTCTCAATCATATTTTAGGAGTTTAGATGGAATTAAATATTTTTAAAGGCCACCTGAAGTGGATTGGTCTGTTTCACTTTTATCCACCAGATTTAGCCCTAAATCGAAACAAAAAGTGGCAGAAAGTTAAGGTTAGGGTATTGCACACCATATCCTGGAGTTTCATCCCGTTCCAAAAATTATCCACCAAATTATGCCACAAGAACTGATTTTTGGCAAATTTTAACATTTTTTCCGTGACAGATGTTTTTGAAAGTGCCCTTAAATTGAAATTAATATAAGGTGTTACAGGTGTTGATATAAGGTGTTACAGGTGTTAATATAAGGTGTTGCAGGTGTTAATATAAGGTGTTACATGTGTTAATATAAGGTGTTACAGGTGTTAATATAAGGTGTTACAGGTGTTAATATAAGGTGTTACAGGTGTTAATGTAAGGTGTTACAGGTGTTAATATAAGGTGTTACAGGTGTTAATATAAGGTGTTACAGGTGTTTACTACGACTAAGCAAGACTCCTGAAGAGGACCTGAAGCTGTTTGAACTAGTGGAGAAAATGCAAGCAGACCACGTGTCGGAATCGGAGCTTGCTTACCTCGCTGATACTGCCTGGAACTGCTCTCTCAAGGCTAAACAAAACGTAGGTCAACTAGAGAAGACATTACCCTAGAGGCCTTAGCCAAGGTACTAGTTTTACAAGTTGAACAAAACAATATCTATAATACAATATAAATAAGCTGAAATCCAAGAGAAATCCGTCACCACTCACCAGGTGTAACCTGGTAACCTGGTAACCTGGTAACATGTGTCAGTGTCAAATATAAGCCTGTAACAGTGAAATATTGTACGCGGTCAGGGCTCTTTACTTGAATCAATTTCTAATAGATTTTGTACGTGGATCAACCGACAGATTTTGCATTATAAGAACATGTCAATTTGATATTATCAAGTGCAGATGACGTCACTGCGGCATTAAATCTCTCAACCCAGAATGGTTCAGGTTCTGATCCGTAAAGGTAAGATTAATTGAAGAGTACCTCTCCTCACGTCCCCATATCCTGACACATGTTTGGTTTATTAATTATGGGCCCACATAATGCGGGGTATATTCTCATAATATGGGGTATATGCCCTGAATAAGTCATGCTGGTTAGTGCTGCATAGTTGGAATACTTATGTTAGTATGTAAAATTCTTACAGTAACATGAGGATCACCCACGCACACCTTAATCAACAACAACAATATGGCAAACCCAGCAACCCCAGGGCCCAGGCATATTATGCACTGGTAGTCGCTTAGTCAAGCTCTAATCAATAGTTCTGAATAATGATGAGGAGGTGAACCATGTTAATTATTTATAGAGACACTTGACAGTGGGTTGTGAAGCTGTCAACAAACAACAACGTGTCAGAGAAATATACGGTTCAGTATCCAGATTAATTATTCTGCTCGGGCAATCTGAAAAATTGCGAGAGTTCTTTGCCTCTATTAGAAAAATAAAGCTATAAACCCTGATTATCCCTTAATACCATCCCTTTTACCCTCCGTAAAGGGTTGCTGAACATCCAACACAATGCTAGAGTGGGGGGGGGGGGGGCTGTAGGGTGGGGGCCAGGTTGTACTCGGTAGGTTTCTGGAATTGATGAATTTAAAGTCAAACTGCTGACAAATTTCTCATGAGAAAAAAAGGAGAAAATGGTTTGTTTAAAACATTGTTCAGCACTTTCGTTCATCCGTGATTGGATTTTGTGGCTTCCCAATCAGTGGAAAGCACTGATATCTCCCTGACGCACAAATTATATTCAGTGTCAAATATAATTAATCATTATGCATGCCAGACAGTCATCTTAAAAATCATCGAACAATCAACTTTAAATTAATTTAAAAAATTGATTTATAGTTATGCTCATAAAAACTTACTCTAATGGCTAGAAAACGTGATGAGCAATCTGTATTAAGGCCCAAATGCCGGTTATATGTGTGAAGCAACCTAAATCATATTCCTACCTTGCCCCTCTGATGACAAATCATCATCTATCAATGAACGAATAACACAAGGTTCTTTGATCTAGGACACAAAGATCGACAATATATAATAAATGATCTAATAAATGATCTAATAAATGATCTAATAAATGATCTAATAAATGATCTACTGTCTGTCCACAGCGCTATTAAATTAGTAAATCTATATCTCCAGTGTTCACGATTAAAGTATTAAATCGAGGAGTTATGCTTAGTGGACGATAATAAAGCATACCGCACCATTGTCATGTTTCTCATTATGTGCTTTATAGTTTATATGAACTTATGCAGACACGATGATGAATATTTAATGTATACAAGTTATTATTGATCAGATTTAAAGCTATGGTAAATTCTGTTGAATTTACTGTGGAATCATCGCTTATTTCAAGGCAGAGTCTGCGCTTACTGTTGCTTTCCTACAAGGTTGTGTTACAATATCAAAACTATTTAAAAATAGTTCAAGAAGATTCGTAATGACTAAAACTTTTATTATATATGCGAAGGAATTGAGAAATAAAAGAGAAATAAAAGAGAAATAAAATAGTTGTAAAGGAGGAGGTATTTAAACAAAGCCTCGAACAACTGTCACATTGTAGAGTTGGTTGTCAAAGAGGACCGTGTCACAAAACATGTTCCGTAGTTTCATTATCTATCTCTCCTGGTGAATTCTCAGATAATCAAGCCACAATAAAACGCGCCTTAACGCCTAAGAATTTAGTAGTTAGTATTGTTGTCATGTGTTGTCACATGTTGTCATGTGTTGTCACGTGGTGTCACGGCTGCTAAGAATGTTCTGAGTAAGCCATGTTATTGAGTCTCATGATTCGTCCAGGACTGCGCCAAATGGAAAAATGCCAATTTGTAATTAAATGGTGAAAATGATCAGGACACAACAGGACAGTTGATTTAGTTTACATATTCAAAGTGCAAACCCTTGATAGTATATAAGACCAAATTTGATAGGATATCATTAGAATTATAAATCAGTGATAACCTCACTGTAACCACACTAGGACACTACTTATTACAAACATGCTAATATATTGTGGTTACCTGCGAGGGAGCTGAACAATTATGCTAAATATTATTAGAGCATAAGGGACGGTATAATAAGGGACAGAGATTTGTTTGTCACGTGACCTGCTAATAACTTATTAGGGTTACTATTACTGTTAGTGGGAAGTAGTAACACAGTTAACTAGCTACTCTTATTGTTAGACTAATATTACCAGGCAGCTCCTTCATCAATATTATTATTGTTAGAACCAGGTTCTTGCTCCGCATTGTGCTGATTATTTAACGGGTTATTTTAACAATACGGTAACAATACAGTTACCATCAAGTTTACCATATTGATGAGGGAGCTGCCTGGTAAATGGTAATAGTTCTACTAAGTATCTGCTACCAAAGTGGTGTATTTTCACAGGAGTATCGGAGTTCTGCAAGGTTCCTAGTTCTGCAGTGTTCCGATGAGGATTGCGACGAAAGCAACAAGTGAACAGTTTTAGAGGGAACTATTATAATTAAGAAGTCGAAAATCCGCAGGATTCCAGAATTTAACATGAATGCTCAGTCAAATTAAAAAATGCCCGCATTTTAACTATTTCGCTTTTGAAATTCACCGCAGCCCGTTAGTTTTACCGCCTCTATATAGAATAAATAATTTAAGAATTAATGTGATGTTGAATATCGGATGAAGATTGGACCTGTGAATCCTCTTTAAGCCCCTGGCCCTTCCTATCCTTCTAATATTCCAATATGCGATCTCCATTTTCCAGAAAATGGACAGAAATATGAATTAAATGGATGAGTTATGCACAAAAACGCTGTTTGGATAAAAGGAAATACAGTACAATTAGTACAGACCCAGTAGTAATAACACCAAATTCAACTTTATTTTCTGGAAGTACATAATTTAATAAATACTTGAGCAAGGTGAGCATCTGGTTAGTGTATTAAAATTGCCAAAAACCGTATAGTCTGACCTCTTTCACTTTTCCCTGGACTTAGTAAGATTTCCTACCTACCTATAGCTATGTGACCTAAAATAAATATTCGAGAATCGAGACCGTCTCGGAAAAACATTTTTGTAACTACCAACTTCTGCATTTTACAAGTTAGTAAAAGCTTCGTATTAGATATCAGCAGCCCTCAAAGCAAAGGCTCGAATGTTGCCGAGTCATGATTATGTACGTGTTACAGGTACGTGTTACTGGGCGGTACAGGTGCTATCTTGAACACCTCTGATGGTTTTACACCCTCTCTATGACTGAAAGAGTCTAGTAGTTTTTGTAGGGTCTGTCCTGCGAGCTATACTACAGTAGATTGGACCTCTGACCCAACACAGAGAATACTACAGTAGTAGTATAGTGTGCAATGTATTAATGTCCGCTCACATGAACAAGGCAAGAGGAGGGATTCTGAATTGCGAGCTAGTTCAGGCGTTTCTCTATACTACAGTATACTAGTCAAGGGGAAACTAAGTCAAGAGGATATTTCTCTTTCACTCAAAGCTACAAATTAATAAAATGTGATAAAATAGTATAGATATGATAAAACCACCTAATCTATTATCTATTAGATACTATCTAGCTATTAGATGCTAGAGATTCGATCGATCGATCACAGGATGATTTTGAACACGTCAATATCATGAACATTATTCAGCACATATTTCACAAGCGGGAACAAGACTACCATCAATTCAGCACAGTACATCTACCTACGATTCAACGATCAGTCCAAGCATCCGATATATAAACTATGTAACAGAATATTATTATTATATATCCGGGACTCTACGGCGTAAGACCCTAACCCTAACCCTAACCCTAACCCTAACCCTAATCCTAACCCTAACCCTAACCCTAACCCTAACCCTAACCCTAACCCTAACCCTAACCCTAACCTAACCCGCCGTAGAGTCTCACGCCGTAGAGTATTACGCCGTATAGTCCGGACCCCGGTCCAAAGCATGCCATGAGAAAAGTTAATGTGCAGAAAACATATAATGTTGTCCAGATAGGATTCATATCATCAGGGGTGTAGGAAGAGGGGGAGGGGCTGCATATCAGCAGGGGTGTATGAAGAAGGGGGGGGGGGGCTGCATATCAGCAGGGGTGTATGAAGAAGGGGGGGCTGCATATCAGCAGGGGTGTATGAAGAAGGGGGGGGGAAGCTGCATATCAGCAGGGGTGTACGAAGAAGGGGGGGCTGCATATCAGCAGGGGTGTATGAAGAAGGGGGGGGGGCTGCATATCAGCAGGGGTGTATGAAGAAGGGGGGGGGGGGAGGCTGCATATCATCAGGGGTGTATGAAGAAGGGGGGAGGCTGCATATCAGCAGGGGTGTATGAAGAGGGGGGGGGGCTGCATATCAGCAAGGTTACCGGGTTAAGGTTTTTTTCCTACCCATGGTTCAGAGAGACACGTTAACAAATAATCAATTAACCTAGTTTAATCTCAATTTTCAGTACGAGATAATGAAGAAGCTATTAGAACAGTGTACGAGACTAGTAACACGCATGAAGACGCCTCTAACTCCGCAATACTACCAGAGAATTAGGAACTGTTACCTGCTCATGACGGCCGCCTGTCTTCAACTAGCGGACCAGACAGACAATCAGATTACAGTTTCAGGTAGGGGTTTCTCATTCGAGTATTTGTCATTCACTGCCAAAATATTCTTGAACAGATCATCCACCAATCTTAAAATTCGGTGACATTTCAAAATATTGTTTAATTCGTAATGAAATAATAATTGTTTTTAATCAGAAGACTTCTCTATATTTTGTCAATGTGACAAAACTGTGCCGCATGATGGTATAGGATATCTTACTAAGTTACTATGGCCTTAGTTTATTCTAGAGATCATATAAGATATCCAAATAAGCTGTTTCAAGACCCCCTCTCCAGTCAATAATTCCACTTGATTAATTAAAAATTTCAAGATTTGCAACTCATCTTAGATTAATCAATTGCGTTTAACGAAAATATTGATAAAAAATCCAGTGGGGCTCTCTAACTACGTCAAAAATGTACGTGGATATCAAAACATTTACGTTGGAGAATATGTTGTTCCGCAATACCGATGTTTACGATTCACGCGAGAAACTAGGAAAATTATACGGATTAGAATGGTAAACAAAATACAAATATTGTCCGCAGAAATAATCCTCACTATTCTGACTCGGTACAATCCGCCTGATGAACTACTTTCTGATAGAATTGGGTTTATGCCAATAGACCCAATCCAGCATCATGGTTAGGAGAAACAGTTTCTATCTCATAGTCACGTGATGGTAGCTAGCAAAGTCGCGTGATGGTAGCTAGCAAAGTCATGGGTCGGGAGAGGAAGATTAACGAGATAACAGTCAGATCATACGACCAATCTATGTCCCACCAGTTTGATAATACTAGGTTGAGTAGGCTGAACAATATCCTGATTTAAGAGTGGTGACACTAGCGAGGGTAGTGAGGTAAATGAGGGGTGGGTGATTCACTAAAATACCCTGATCTAAGGATTCAACAATCCCAAAATTTCCTCCCAATTTGATATTAAACAAGGAGTTAATTTCAGTAATGAGCTCACTATCATAGCGTAGCTCATCCACATTCCACAGTTGTTTGCGAAAATAACCTCAGCAGATGAGAGATATTCAATTATATGAATGAAATCGATAATTAGAGGACAAATGATGTACAATGTACATACGATAGCAATGTTCTGGTCTCTGAGGAAAAACGACCAAAATTTAACTGAGGCCACCACGCGACCAGTGACCAGTGACCAGTGACCAGTGACCAGTGACCAGTGACCAGTGACCAGTGATCAGTGATCAGTGATCAGTGATCAGTGACCAGTGACCACAGCATGTCATGATATGATGATATTACAAATCAAACTATTTCATATTTTAACCGGTTTATAATATTAGTTAATGTTATAGTGCTCCGCACTATCTCTATAAATATCTACAGTAATATTTCCTGTCATATCTCACAACTTTTAAACCCGGAGATGGAAATATCCCATTTTTGGTGTTCATGAGGTCAGGAGATAGGGATTAGGGCAGCTGTCCAGGCTCCTGCAAGATCACGTGACTTGTAACCATAGCAACGCATAGCAACACACACTGGGAGTTGTTCAGCTGTATCGACTGGTGGTCTCATGTGTAATGTCTTCAGTTAATCAGCTACTTATATGTCTGGTGTCCCTATGATTCACGAAAATGATCAGCTACTTACATAGATTCAAGAAAATGGTTTTCAATTTACAGCAGTCTCTGTGGCGTTTGGAAAAAGGCAATGAGATAGTGAGATGACCGTAACTGTATATATATCTGCACTCCCAATCAAGCGGGCCCGTGATTGGGAAACGTGCTCCTTCAGAAATATTCTCCTTCAGAAACGTGCTCTATACGTTTCATCTTGATAGTATTAAAGTTTTGTTACGACAAAGAATGATTGGAAGCTCAGGAATGGGCACTCGAGTTGATGAATGAGAGACGCTCCTCAGATAAATGAGAAGGAAACTGTATTGTGATTGGTTAACAGAACTCAGTAGCAGTGATAGAAACCATTGCTACCAACTGTTTTATTATTTGAAAGTGACATCTCCATAATATGAAGTAGTAGCAGCAGCAGCTGTAGTAGTAGTAGTAGTAGTAGTAGTAAGTAGTAGTAGTAGTAGTAGATAGTATTGGTATTTTAATTAGGTAATTAAGTGGGGAACTGCTGTTATGTTGTTACAGTCATTTATAATTATAATACTCAAATGATACTCAAATATCAGTATAGTTCATTATAAAGCTGAAAAGTAGACTTAATAGAAGTGGTAGCAGTAACCCTGTGTGATAATAAAGGTGCGTTCAGTAAGATTATTGATATTGGCATTCTCAAGAACAAATTATAATCTCGTCGTAATACCTCGTACAATGACTCTGAGGTTATCAGATTTTTTACATTCAATGCCGGATATCAACCTTTTTAAAGGTCTAAAAATCGAACCCAAAATCTCACTACGACAAAAGCTTTTCCTAAATAGCTTCAATGATAGAAACATAGTAGTAGTAGTAGTAGTAGTAGTATAAATAGCGTTAATGAGAGAAACATCTTAAACAAGAGTCAAGTGATAAAACCTCATTAACAAAAAGTTCCGAAACAGCCTACATGACGTTGTGTCAGATTGCTTCAGATTGCTTCAGAAGCTACAGAAAAATAGCAACATTGCAACATTGCAGAGAAAGGAGTGGCAACATTGCAGAGAAAGGAGTGGCGACTATGACCAAAAACCTGATCACAGCCGTTCTCGGAAAGAGAATGACGACAAAAGCTTGTCTAAATAGAGTTAACGAGTTGACATTCCTCCAAACCACCCTCTTAAACACGACCTCGGTCACCAACTCTCATTAAGACACGTCTCAGCACGGCTGAGAGCCTGGTTTCGGGGAAACGTCCAATTTACCTTTGTTTGGGGTTCAGTGCGTGCTTTAGTGAAGATAAAGCAGCCCTGTGGTTACTATGGTTACTAAGATAATACAGCCTGGCCATTAAAGTAGTGGGAGATTGGTCGGTCAGGGGCAATCAAGCTGCTAACTGTTACTGTCACAGTGGTATCAGTTACAACTCATCCACCTGTAATAATCCTGACAATAAAATATCAGTTTCAAGCTGGGGTACTGATACGTAACAGCTCCCAGATCACCGCTCCCGGTCCGAATTATCCGCTCATAATCTCCAGGTTGCTAATAATGCACGGTAAATAAATCATACTATTTGCTGTTAGTATTACAGCCGTGGTCACTGAAGTAAGAGGAATCAGGTGATCTGTCATGGTTCCGGTCTCCGGAACTAAATCACCAGTTTCACCAAGGAGTCAAGTGCTGTAGTTGCTGTCCGCAAACTATCAAAATAATATTTAATTTCACCCCTCTCACAGTATCGGGGTGTTTTTTAAGTATAATCGAGTTATAAAACCCCACATTTTAGGTTTTTTGAAAAACTTACTATCCTTTCACACAACCAATAACAAGTATTGCTGTTACTGCTTTTACGTGTAATACGCAAGGGGAAGGAAGTACAGTATGTAATATTATATGTAATCATATGTAATATCATATGTATGTTCCTGCATGTCAAGGTATATAAAGGTAACAGGGAAAAAGAAAACCTTAGCTGTTAACGCAACCCTGATGAACTTAAATCTAAGCTGGACAGGCTTAGATGTAAAAGAATCGAACTCTAAGTTGAACCAAAACAAGATTATACTATATCATTAGAACTTAAACTATAAAACAGAACGGAGATCAGTCTTCAACAAGGAAAAATGTCAAATGCTCAAAATAATGATCACGGTAATTCACTTGACGGCCCCAGTCATCAAGTTTCTACAGATTACAGGTCCAAAGTTTAGCACCTTCCTGTACCCTGTTACAGATGGGGTTCTTTGTCACTGAATAGGGTAATACCCTTTGTTACTCTGGCGGCGAGGCAAAGAGCACCCCTTTTGGCCTGTTCGTGTGAGGTATGACTGGCACCTTGAAAGTATAACTCAAGTTCCTTACCTCGCGGTATTTCTACTCGAAACACTAGGAAGTAGGAACTCTGAATTTTATTGACCGCACAATCGATTAAATGTGGTCCAGAAATTATTGGATCGTTTTTTTTGTATTTTGTTCGGTTAACCTTACTGAGAATTTCTAAAAAACCTGCCAATTATAAACTGTTACCCAGGCCACAGTTACCCAGGCCACAGTTACCCAGGCCACAGTTATCCAGGCCACAGTTACCCAGGCCACTGTTACCCAGGCCAATGTTACCCAGGCCAATGTTACCCAGGCCACTGTTACCCAGGCCACTGTTACCCAGGCCACTGTTGCCCAGGCCATTGTTACCCAGGCCACTGTTACCCAGGCCACTGTTACCCAGGCCACTGTTACCCACGTTCTGCCATGGGAAAGCAACATCTTCACTAAACACAGGCGCCAAATATCAAACTTATATTAATATAAACATGTATTATATTAGTTATAGATATTCTCATTATATCCGAGTTAATCCTTCACTCCCTCTATATTTTCAGAGGGAGTTAATCCTTCACTCCCTCTATATCTTCAGAGGGAGTTAATCCTTCACTCCCTCTATATCTTCAGAGGGAGTTAATCCTTCACTCCCTCTATATCTTCAGAGGGAGTTAATCCTTCACTCCTCTAAATCTTCAGAGGGAGTTAATCCTTCACTCCCTCTATATCTTCAGAGGGACTTAATCCTCCACTACCTCTATATCTTCAGAGGGAGTTAATCCTTCACTCCCTCTATATCTTCAGAGGGAGCTAATCCTTCACTCCCTCTATATCTTCAGAGGGAGTTAATCCTTCACTCCTCTATATCTTCAGAGGGAGTTAATCCTTCACTCCCTCTATATCTTCAGAGTTAATCCTTCACTCCCTCTATATCTTCAGAGGGAGTTAATCCTTCACTCCCTCTATATCTTCAGAGGGAATTAATCCTTCACTCCCTCTATATCTTCAGAGGGAGTTAATCCTTCACTCCCTCTATATCTTCAGAGGGAGTTAATCCTTCACTCCCTCTATATTTTCAGAGCACCTACACTCGGCCATGGGGCACATCTCCCAGTTCAAGTTGCTAGGTAACGATAACCTAGATCAGACAACTACCCTGATGTTACTTCTCTACGAACTGGAGTGTGCTGTTAAACTAGGTGAGTAAGTACAGGGGGATGGGAGAGGGGTGAGTGGTGAGAGGTGCGGACTGATGAGGGGTGATGGGTGCGGACTGAGGAGGGGTGAGGGATGGATGAGGGGTGCGGACTGAGGAGGGGTGAGGAGGTAAGGGGTGAGGGGGTGTATTCTGGTGTTCATAACAGAAAATTAGACAGCGATAAAATGCAGCTGTACTCACTTCGTGACGAAATAGTGAGAAGACAGAGTACAGACAGAAAAGGGATATTAACTTTAAAATATTAACTTGACTGTCGAGTCTTAAACAAGTTATAGTTACTAAAGAATAAAGCAAAATTGAATGCAAAAGTATGGATCATGAGTCATCACTCCATACTTACCCCGAATCCCACGCGCGTCGTGCAACTTGTAGAGTTCGTCCATGTTTATTAGAACCTGAAAACTTGCCTACATGCTCTACAAAGCCAAACTGACCCAGTTACGTGGGTGGACTCTCAAACCTTTTCACTTTCGTCGCACTGTTCTTCTTCAGGAGTATCCTGTCAGCAACGATTTCTCTGGTCTTAACTATCTTTGATTCGTTTTCATTTCTCACCCATAATTTAAGGAAAACTGCACAATCTTTTAACTCAGCCACAAGGAAACCTTTGATCTTGTTGAGATCAAAGGTTATAAAGTAGTGTTGAAAGTATTAAAGCATGAAAATAATCCTACAAACCACGTCCGATTCTGAAAGTAATCTGCAATTGTCACAAGCTTGTACTGGCGGTTCATTTGACATACGAATCTGGGGGAGTATTTTATAAACTCCAGCTTTGGAAATAATGCCTCAGTTATCAAATAAGTAGCTTATTATAAGTATATGCAGTATATTATCCAGCGTAAACACGTTGTAGGGAATATTAACGGTTGGTCGTCTTGATAAGATTAATGATTTTGGGTGAGTTAGCTGTTCTGTGTTACTGTTACTTTGCACGTGCGATCCTATTTTGCACGTGCTACCCTACTTTGCACGTGCGATCCTACCCATGCAAATCAATTCATCAGGGTCTTATTTTCCAGGGTACGGCCCAAAAACGGCCCGTGATCAGATTAATGGCCACGTCCTCTTGTGAATTTATACAAGAGGGCTGTATCCCTGCTCAACATCACCATCACCTACAGTATAACTGCGTAATTTGGGGGAAATATATCTGTGGTAAATCGGGGTTCGCAGTAAATGAAAATCGGTGTTTTTCTGTATTATCCACGTATTACCCACGCGACGTATTACCCAATACCCACGAATTACCAACGTATCACCCACGAATTACCAACGTAAGACCCTAATTAACGACTCTATTAACAGAGGTGCCGGAAGCAGGAGAACTAGTGAAGTGTGTCAGTACCGTGCCCTACACCACAACCAGAACTCTAGACAGGGTTGTCAGGATCTGTTCCCTCAGCACCGACCACGCCCTCTCCCACACCGCCATCAGGTTCCTATTAGTTGCTTTCTATGTCTTTTTAACAAACTTGAGCGCCTTGAGTCATTTGAATAGGCATTTTAGAATAGACATCGAGTCATATGGATAGGCATAAAACTTAAACAGGACAGCCCCACTGCACTGTAGACTGTAGAGTTGCAAAAAAGTAGAGTTGCAAAAAAGTTCAGAAATTGTGGAAACACAAAAACGTCACAATAACGATTTAAAAGAATGAGGCAGCTCATATCTAATCTCATTGAGACTCACCGCGAGTGTTTTAAATAAAAATAACAATAACCAAATTAGCGGAAAATAAAATACGAAAACTCACAAACAGCTCACAAAGATAATAAATAGTAAATACTGTTGTTGTGAGTATTCCTATAAATTAACTTTATAAACCCAGCTACATTAGCGGTATGTCGTAAGTACCTGATCTCAACTACAACACACTAATTAGTGGTTTTCAAACTTTATAATATGTGCGTATTTTTTATAATGATATCACAATAATATATGCGTAACTAGTAACTACTGGTCTGACTAATTGGTGAAATATGGTACTCTTCTCCGCCACGTACTCTACTCCGCCAAGTACTCTACTCCGCCACGTACTCTACTCCGCCACGTACTCTACTCCGCCACGTACTCTACTCCGCCACGCGCTGTAGTCAAAAGTTAAAAGTGGAGATGTTGTTTTGTGTTAGCATGAACACAGACTATTAGTATGAACCTCTCGTACAACTGAAGGGCATGTAAGAACGACAATGATGGCAGTTATACAGGAATGAGCACAGGCTCATTTAACTGAAATGTGAACTGTCAAAGTAAATATATTAGTATAGTGCCGCGTTACTTGACATGGTAAAAACGATCGTTTAGTGTCGAATTGAACGACTAAAGATTACACGTGATAGTGATACAGTGATACACGGTCATACACAAAACGCCTGATGCAAACTTTAAACCAAGCAAACAGCGTATAACACAGCGCAATTCCTGTAGATTATGAATATTATTATCAACTTATTTAATTTGAAGACAAAAAGGTATTTTAAGTTTAAAGTTGTGGAATGTGCTAAAATGGGTTAGACTTAGATTTGTATTTAAAGACTTCGGCTTATTTTGCAACTTTCCAGTATCGTTATCGTTATTGAAATCATTATTATATCTACTGAAGGTTTGAATAAAACCTGCCAAATACACTGAATATTGAGTTGTTCTGATTTATACTTATAGCACGTGTGATAAAGAGAAATTATGGTTAATTTAGTTTTGAACTGTTTTATCTTTAGTTTCACTTGTTGGTTCTTTTCAGGTATGCAATAGAGAAACACCTACAAGAATCAGAGCCGAACTGGAATACTATTAGTCAACTGTTTATTCGACTGAGCAAACATACGCCTGACTTCACCCAGGTCTTCAAGCTGTGGTCTCAGTACGCCTCCAAGTTAGTAACCAGTTAGTGACACTATATTTATCAAGTAACCAGTTAGTTACACTATATTTATCAAGTAACAAGTTAGTTACACTATATTAATCAAGTAACCAGTTAGTTACACTATATTTATCAAGTAACAAGTTAGTTACACTATATTAATCAAGTAACAAGTTAGTTACACTATATTTATCAAGTAACAAGTTAGTTACACTATATTTATCAAGTAACCAGTTAGTTACACTATATTAATCAAGTAACAAGTTAGTTACACTTTATTTATCAAGTAACCAGTTAGTTACACTATATTTATCAAGTAACAAGTTAGTTGCACTATATTAATCAAGTAACAAGTTAGTTACACTATATTAATCAAGTAACAAGTTAGTTACACTATATTTATCAAGTAACCAGTTAGTTGCACTATATTTATCAAGTAACAAGTTAGTTACACTTTATTTATCAAGTAACAAGTTAGTTACACTATATTTATCAAGTAATCAGTTAGTTACACTATATTTATCAAGTAACCAGTTAGTTACACTATATTAATTTAGTAATAATTAACCGGTTTCCTGATGCCCACTCCAACACTTCATGTCAACTCCAACCCCTGATGTCTCCAGGTTCCCAGAAGACGAGGCTGCGTGGATGGTATGCGAAGCCTGGAACCGCGGCGTATCACGTGACGATTTACTGTCACGTGACGACGTAACGCGTGAGTTGTGCCAGCTTGCGTTAGAAGTCACGCAATTGTTACCCAGCTATAGAGACGTGTATCAGCAACATATGAGACCTATTATTGAACAACGTGTGACGAAGGGAAGTATGCGTAGTTAGTGAGTTTGGCTTCCAGATGATATTGATTTATTTATGATTTACTCACGAACACATCATACATACACAGATCACAGTTGAACATTTTGTTTCTCGTTGAACTGTTTAATTAACTATATTTTGAGTATTTCTTTATACAGTAGTTATTAAATTTAATAAGTTGATAAATCATTAATTTTTGTATTTGTAAGATCCGGAATTTCGATTCCTATAAGAAATCAGATGAGATTACTCATATAATACTGTATATTATGTCCAAAAGAATTCTGATACAAATATATTTTGTAGTTTTAAGTATTATATGAAATTACACGTTTTAATTTATTTCAAACGTTCATTAAATGTCAAATTATAGTTTCAAAAAGCTTTTCATGACAAAAATCATTTTGTACTTTAAATTTGATTATATTTGTTGAGGTTTTGTTAGATATTTATTAACTTCAATAAAATGATGTCTAAGTTTGTAATAATACACTTATAAAAATCATTATAGATGCTTTTTGAAGTTGATAACAAATGAAAAATGTTATATTGCACCGTCTTATTTTCTGTAAACAGCATAAAATAAATATTAGTATTACTTGGTGACCTCAGGCTTCAGTGTTCACACCTACCGAAGATAATAAATGTAATGGTCACCTTATAAGTCGCTAAAGCTACAACTATAAGTAAGTAAAATACGAGAGGTATTTGTTTTGCTCGAGAATATTTTAATGAATAAATGCTAGTGTAAAATATTGAAGCTCTATACTTGAACAAGCATCATCTAGTTGCTAGTGAAGGGATTCAATTTGACGATGTATGAGTTTCGTGTTCTAGCACCAGCAATGGCTAGGTCTGGGTCACTGAACGGTGAAAACTGAAAAGGAGCCAGAGGACAGTTTTTGTCACATGAAAATAGCTAGCTACTTTGATTGACGATGTCAACCCTTCGAGATCCTTGCAACGATCTACTAAGATGCGAAGCAAGAATGATGCGAAGCAAGAATGATGCGAAGCAAGAACGAGAAATAATACCAACTTCTTAGTTCTTTTATTATATGGCCATATTAGGTGATTTGTTGATAATGATAGTGATACACGTTGTAACCCATTTTCGGCCGAAAATAGGCTGGCCAGACTCTGGCCGGGCCAGAGTGCACGCTCGGATCGTGCTTCGCGTGAGCAAGTGGTATGTAAGTTTATAACCTATTGCTTGACGAAGTAGCGCACGCCGCTTTCTTCTCAAAATATTTTGCATTTTGACCAGATGCGAGTGCTACGATGTAATAGAACGCGCGCCGGGTCACTGTTCAGTCCATATTTAATACTGGACAAGATTGAATTTGAAGCATGAATGATGAAGATTGAAGATAACGCGAACGTAGTCCTACCGAAACGCGCACAGAGTTCATATCATGGTTACTGGGCCGCGCTCAGCCTGTCATTCCGCCGAATCTCTATTCGGTTTATGAACATGATAGCCTGAGGTCCCTTGTCATACGTTGTATGACCCGCCGCGCACGAGTGCGCGGCTCCCCCAGGACCATAGTGAAACGACCGTGGGGGTCGCAACGTGATACAAAAGGTCCCCAGGTAAATTAAAATATCATGGCTGAACTTCAAACTTGTCGACATTGTAGCGCGATGCACTACTGGGTCGCGCGCGCATCAAATAATGCTTCTCGCAACCACAGTAGGTAGATCGGCGAAATGCACCACTGTGCCTCGCCGAGCTGCGAAGGATTGACATCGTGAATCAATTGTCGACATGACAATCAATATTTGAAGCAAATATGAAATATAATTTTACTAGTACCACCCGACCCCGTTAACATTCACCTAACCATGTGCTTTCGCGCTTCACATAGCCATGTGCCTACGCGTACTGCGTGACGCGCTTGTTTCACAAGTAGATAGGTCGCGCGCTACTGCAAGCGAGAGGGCTCTGGTTAGAGCAACAAAGCAACGAACGCTAGTTTGCGCGGCGTGCCGAAGCAGTGAAGTCCTCCAAATTAGAAATTGGGAACAAATGTTTCAAGAGCAAAGAGTATCGCTTACTTGGGGACCTCAGGCGGAATGACAGGCTGATCGCGGCCCAGTAATATAAGAGTACCGCCCGTTAAATGTTAAAGTTTGTGCGCGCTGATATTGTAATATTGTTAATATGATATAATCAATAATATAATAGTATAATGTTTGTAGGTTTATAACCTACCAGGACGCGCGCCGAGGCCGAGTTGGACTCGTCGATAATGGATAATCGGAACAAATATTTTACGAGTATCACCCGTTAATATAATGTTAATAATATAATGTGCGGCGCGCAGCTCGCTACAGTGTACAGTCTCCTGTTATTGTATTTTTATTTTCGCATTGGATAAACCTAGACCACTCCTAGCTGTAGACGAAATGAACTCGCTGTTAGAATGTTTTTATTTTGGCAAGTGCTCGAACGCTCGGTGTCCGGTGCCATCAACATACCCAGATCCGCAGTTGCTTCTTTTCCTTCTCATGTCGTTATTTTAGGTTATCTTAGTTTGTGCTATCTAATACATTAGCACAACTAGAAAATAATAAAAGTTGCCATTTCCCAGTAGGCCCGCTACACCCATACAGAGCTTTCTTATGGGACACTACCATGGCATGGCCATATTTTCGTAAGACATAAAAATAAATTCCTAGAAATCTGTTTCTCTATCTTTCCAAATTTCATCGGGTTTTCTGTCTTGGAAATTCAGTCCTCGGATTTTCAGTCCTGCTCTCACAACGGGAATGATGTGTTGAATTGATTAACATAATGATCTGCATATTATGTTCATAATGTATTGACAATTTTTACTCAACTTTAATTGATCGGTTGATTTTTGATAGAATGGTTGTAAAATCTTGTCTCTTTTTAAAAATCGCCATTGTATCTAGATTCTAGAACCCATTTGCCTATGCCTCATGTTTTGAGATCATAAAAACTAGATGTGTGTAGGTATTTTCAGTCTGATTTTGATTATTTGATTAATAAATATTGCCCCCTGACCGATAAAACAGCAATTGTGATTTGATTACATGCAATGATTCGATCAAAGTATCTTCTTTCACAATCTTGTTTGTTATCAGAAAATGTATAATTAAGGAGACTAATTGAAAATTTTGGATACATCTCTAGTTGACTTACTGGGTACCAGGCTACTGTGTACTGATCGAGAACATTCTGTCGTGTCGCAATACTGACGTACTCACTTGACATTTGCGCCGATATTAGAAACCTAGCAGCGCATGTTATTCATAAAACAATAAATTAAAAACTTCTCCACTAAAGGTAGGTCGCTCAGTTCACAATTTGCTGCTCTACCTAATTAGAGCCAGTACTGTATGTAGTAAAGTAGTAAAGTACCAAGTGTGCTCAGTTCGCTGTTGTAGTCTTCTAAATTGCTCTACCAGTAGTCTGCTTCTCCTGACTTCCTGACTTATTATGTGCAGCTCAACTGTGTAATTGCTCTCTGTATACGTGTATACTGGCTGTATATACTACCTTGTGTACTTTGTTGTGTTGTTTGTTCTTTTGTTTATTGGTATATTCAGTGTAGTTAGTAGTGGCAAAGTAACATGAACGTGGAAATTTTATAAATTAATTGATTTATGATTTTTTAATAAAACACAATAGACATTTCATTTCAATTTCACAATTGAATATGTCTATGAATGATTTAATTTGTTATTTTGTTATGTTGTGTAATCAACAATTTGTGGCATTTAAACTGACAATTAGCAAGCTGTTCAAAACGACGTAGTTAGCGCGTGTAAGGGAAACGAAGCCTTGTATGTTCTACATCAATTGTCTTGCTGTTTTGGCACAAACAGTTTATTTATATCACATTATCACGTACTGCACTACAGTTTATTATTCAGATCTACTTGTTCAAATCTGTCGCCTATGTAGTATGTTGCTTGTCCTGGTAGTACCTACATCTCCAACTTGCAAATTAAACTGATAAAAAGCATACATTTGCAGATTAATTTACATTTGCAGATTAATTTACATTTGCAGATTAATTTACATTTGCAGATTAATTTACATTTGCAGATTAATTTCTAAAAGTATTCGCCAGTTTAACTCATCTAAAATTACCAGGATTTTATGATATAACAAAAATGTGAGATAATAAACGCTGAACAAATCTACATCTCAAGACTGCCGCTGTTTTTAGTACACGTGAGTTGAATTAATTTAGAATTAAAAATAACGGACAGATTATTTTATATACAAAAAAAAACCTGTGTTTACAGGGATTAGCTGTAAAGTAGCAGTTTGTTAGTTTAAAACACCCTACAGCAAGTAAATGTTAGTTGTTACATAACTGTATTTACGTATTTATAATACAGAAATTGTGTTGAAGATGTAGTTTAGGGTGTGGACTCATTGGCTGTGTGAGCTAATCATGTATTATAAATCAGATGGCTTGTTAAGGGTGTGTATAATGTATAAACTATAATCCCTATAATGTATTATAATGTATTCTACAATTGTATAATGTATATTATTACAGGAGGAGGGGTTATGGGCAGAGGGAAGTTGGTTACAACATGCTGCTGACACTACAAGGATTCTGGACCGTTGCTCTCTACTTCGGTCTATTAGGTACAGGCTGTTTGAACCTTAAAATAACATCATACTTTTAAATCGGAAATAAGTTTAGCTTCTGAAATGTTACTGTTTTTCCTGGAGTTTGACTATTAATTAAACTGGTACACCCTGTTTAACTTTAATAGTTTCTTAGTGTTACCAATGTTATCAACTGATGAAATCGGTGTCTGAGATTGTTTTCAGTTAGTTTCAGTTTGCTGACTTATACCTGTAATCTGAATGTTATAAATAAAATATGAGAAGAGATTGCTATTTTTAACTGATCTCATACACCTATTTAATGTGACAACACTATAAGTTATATTAGTTAAAAGTAAAGTATAACAATATAGTCCCTTATTTCCCAGGTATAATATGGTTACCACGTTACTACGTGATTCCGACCAAACTGAGGTTGTGGCCTTCTTACTGGCTGTATAGCACCTTCTCCACCAACACTCTGCCACCTCTCAGGTTAGTACTGTGTGGTTAGTACTGTGTGGTTAGTACTGTGTGGTTAGTACTGTGTGGTTAGTACTGTGTGGTTAGTACTGTGTGGTTAGTACTGTGTGGTTAGTACTGTGTGGTTAGTACTGTGTGGTTAGTACTGTGTGGTTAGTACTGTGTGGTTAATACTGTGTGGTTAATACTGTGTGGTTAGTACTGTGTGGTTAGTACTGTGTGGTTAGTACTGTGTGGTTAGTACTGTGTGGTTAGTACTGTGTGGTTAGTACTGTGTGGTTAGTACTGTGTGGTTAGTACTGTGTGGTTAATACTGTGTGGTTAGTACTGTGTGATTAGTACTGTGTGGTTAGTACTGTGTGGCTAGTACTGTGTGGTTAATACTGTGTGGTTAGTACTGTGTGGTTAGTACTGTGTGGTTAGTACTGTGTGGTTAGTACTGTGTGGTTAGTACTGTGTGATTAGTATGTGTGTTAGTGCTACGAATCTTATCTAAATAATTTGAAAATGTAGTAACTTAGTGACACATCAACGAATCGTATTAACATCGGTTGTTAAGTATTCTACCTACAAATTCATACAGTCTGTAGATATATATAGATAGATATATATAGATATATATAATATTCGTGTTGCGATGTGAATATTGTGTCTTAGTACCTACTCGAAATGATATGATGTACACTTGACTGTCTAGTGTAGACTGTAATGTTAACAGTGTAGAGTTAACAATGTACACACTGCATTACAGATAACTAGCTACACGCGTGTGTAATTACTCTACCAAACATATGTTATTTATAGCTGCTCAATGTAGGAAACAGCTAGTTAGCGATAGTCTGCGGATTGTTATGGAATGTTGCATGTAAGTATTATTATAGTATACAACAAGCTTTAACTGCTCACAGTTACTACATACTTAATTACTACTTATTAGACTGTGTTCCTAGTTGCTACATTTTATAATTTAAGTGAAAAATAGTACTGAGTCTAAGAATTATGGAATTAAAAGCGCCACTAAGTAAAACTTCTTGTCTGAGGTGAAGGATGTTAAGCTAAGTTTACCTGTCCCACCATTGAGAGGACCTATTATCAAACTGTCACATGTTACGTGCCTATACAAATCAAACTTAGATGCTTTATTTACTCTAATTTGTTGTATCTCCGTATTTTGTAAAGTTTCGTGTCAAGAAAACATGAAGGATGACGAAATAATGATTTTAGAGGGTTAAATAAGCCCTTCAGAAGGGAAATGTCGTAAAATTTGCTGCTGTATCTGTAATGGATATTCTAGAGGGTTTTTGTTGAGGGTTTTTTGGATGTTGTAAAGGGTTTTTTGGTTGTTTTTGTGGACTTATTTCCCGATTTTGGGGGACGATCTGGTAATATTTAACTCATATTATATCCTGTGCTGCTGAGATGCTTTGTTGCTTCATTCTTAGATGATAATGTATGTATAAAATAGTAGAATTGTAGCTTGTTACATAAAACATCAAGAAATACAACGTTTAGCGCAGTCCGGACGTGGTCACGCTGTTTCTTATTAATGCTTTTCATGCAAACAAGTTAAAACGAATCTTTTATGTCATGTATCCTGGGTTTATATTTTACCTGTCAAACCAGCTCTCATGTTATTATTCTTAACCAAACTGTTTTATTTGCCGAGTTAATTTAGCAGTTTTGCTTCTCACGATAAAGATCATCAACTATGGGAGAAGAACATCTTATAGATATAGAGGATGACAAGAACTCATCGCAAAAAGTTTCGGCAAGTTTCCATAAACGATATTTTATGATCGGCGACGATAATCGCTTATTGAGCGCTTTTTCGGCGCTTTTTTTTTAAAAAACCGTTTACAATCGCTTTTTTTACGATTATAAACGGTTCAAAAAAAATCGCTTATAATCGACTATAATTGGTGTCATAATTCAAAAAAGCGCTTTTTTGAATTTAAAAGCGCTTATAAGCGCTTTTAAGCGCTTACTAGCGTCGCTGAGCGATTTGAAAGCGGTTTTCCAGTAGGATTGTCGCCAAAAACGGGTGGATAAGCGGTTGGCCGGATAAGCGATTCGTGGGCGCTTTTTTGAACCATTTATAAGCGATTATAAGCGCTTATAATTGGGGTGCAATTTAGCTGTTTGTAAAGCGCAAATAAAGCGCTTACAAGCGCTTTTAAAATTGAGTCAGGAAAACGCTATATTACATCTTATAACCGCTTATAATCGATTATAAGCGTTTTTTTTAGAAATCGCTTATTACGGCTAATTCATCGCTATTTCACCGCTTTTACCGCTTTTCCTATCATCCATGGCCAGGTGAGCAGGAATTAAAAAGCGCTTATAAGCGCTTTTTCGATGCTGCCACTAACCTGGTCGGAACGGGGGAGTGCCCGGAATTAAAAAGCGCTCATAAGCGCTTTTTAAATGCTGCCCCTAACCTGGTCGGAACTGGAAATCAGAGTGCCCGCTTATAAGTGCTTTTCTGAGCAACCTGGGGTACACGGCAGAGTCAGAATTTAAAAGCGCTTATAGGCGCTTATGATCGCTTTTCTACCACTTTTCTTATCACCCATGGCATGGGTTGGCAAGAATTATAAAGCGCTTATAAGCGTTTTTCAATGCTGCCCCTTACCTGGTCGGAACGGGGGAGTGCCCGGAATAAAAAAGCGCTCATAAGCGCTTTTTAAATGCTGCCCCTAACCTGGTCGGAACTGGAAATCAGAGTGCCCGCTTATAAGTGCTTTTCTGAGCAACCTGGGGTGCACCGGCAGAGTCAGGATTAAAAAGCGCTTATGATCGCTTTTCTACCGCTTTTCCTATCACCCATGGCCTGGTTGGCAAGAATTATAAAGCACTTATAAGCGTTTTTTCAATGCTGCCCCTAACCTGTTCGGAACAGGGGTGTGCCCGGAATTAAAAAGCGCTTATAAACGATTTCTCAATTCTCTTCAACCTGGTCGGAACTGGAGAGTGCCCACTTGCATGTGCTTTTCTGAGCAACCTGGGGTGCACCGGCAGAGTCAGGATTTAAAAGCGCTTATAGGCGCTTATGATTGCTTTTCTACCGCTTTTCCCATCACCCATGGCCTGGTTGGCAAGAATTATAAAGCGCTTATAAGCGTTTTTTCAATGCTGCCCCAAACCTGGTCGGAACGGGGGAGTGCCTGGAATTAATAATCGCTTATAAGCGATTTCTCAATTCCCCTTAACCTGGTCGGAACTAGAAATCAGAGTGCCCGCTTATAAGTGCTTTTCTGTGCAACCTGGGGTGCACCGGCAGAGTCAGGATTTAATTAAGCGCTTATAGGCGCTTATGATCGCTTTTCTACCGCTTTTCCCATTACCCATGGCCTGGTTGGCAGGAATTTTAAGCGCTTTTTCAATGCTACCCCTAACCTGGTCGGAACGGGGGAGTGCCTGGAATTAATATGCGCTTATAAGCGATTTCTGAATTCCCCTTAACCTGGTCGGAACTGGAAATCAGAGTGCCCGCTTATAAGTTCTTTTCTGTGCAACCTGGGGTGCACCGGCAGAGTCAGGATTTAAAAGCGCTTATAGGCGCTTATGATCGCTTTTCTACCGCTTTTCCTATCGCCCATGGCCTGGTTGGCAGGAATTAGAAAGCGCTTATAAGCGCTTTTTCAATGCTGCCACTAACCTAGTCGCAACGGGGGTGTGCCCGGAATTAAAAGGCGCTTATAAACGATTTCTCAATTCTCTTCAACCTGGTCGGAACTGGAGAGTGCCCACTTGCATTTGCTTTTCTGAGCAACCTGGGGTGCACCGGCAGAGTCAGATCTTTATTCGTTTATTATGTTTATGAACATAATAGCCTGGGGTCCCCGGTCCCCAGGTAACTGGTTACTATGTGCTATGGATGACAACCTTTTGCTTTTTACCTAATTTGCACGTAGGCAGTCGTGCATACATACTAAATACAGAGTTATAATAATACAATAATAATTAAAAATGCTTTAAATTATGATAAAAATAGTATAGATTTTGGACGCTTTTAACGGGTGATACTCGTAATATATTTGTTTCAAATATTAGGACCGTCGACGATTGACGGATGTTACTCGTCTAAATTTCTTCGAAGTAGCACGCGCCGCTTTCTTCTCGAAGTCGATGGCAAGTGCTACGAAGTAGCGCGCGCCGGGCCAAATCATTAACAATGGTCAACGTCGACGAGTCCAACTCGGCGCGCGCCCTGGTAGGTTATTAACCTACAAGGACGCTTCAATTCCGAATCACCCCTCATGGCTGTATTATATATAGTTATAACCATAAGTTTGTGTGTTTATAACCATACAAGACGTATTTATACCATGCAAAACGTATTTATAAGCATGCAAGACACTTAATTGTCGCCGGTCTAATTGCTTATATTTGTGATAAATATTTTAAGAGTCTCACTTGACCATTGCATGTTACATGTTACTGGTCTGGCCCGACATAGCACGTGCCATCGTGGCATTTCGAGAAGAAAGCGGCGCGCGCTACTTTAGACGAGTAACATCCGTCAATTAAGAGTATCACCTGTTAACCATGGGTATTGGGTCTATTTGTATCATTCAGGTCGCGTCGTGACATAGTCATAAGTAAATTAAACAATTGCGCGGTAATCGGTAAACAAGCTGATATGCCCATTTTACAGCATGAACTATAACATGAGACAAAATAAAATATTGACTCACAATGCAATGTCAATCTTTCAATTCACAGCTTGGCGAGGCCCAGTCTAGTTGTGAATTTTTACCAAACTAGCGAAGCGCAATGTTGAATGTGATTGCGAGAATTGACGGGTGACACTCGTAAAATATTTGTTCCATATATTGGAGTCCAACTCGGCTTTTACTAATTCGCTCGCCCAAAAATTTCACGTGACTTTGGTTTTTATGGTTTTGCGGCCGTACAAAACGGTTTTACATAAATCCTAATCCCAACCCTAACCCTAACCATAATGCATAACCCCGAAGTTAACCATAACCCTTACCACAAGCCTAACCCTA